TTATAACGCATTCCTTTGAATATCTTTTTATAATATTTTGTGTTTTAAATTTGAATTAAAAATTTTCAAGTCACAATTATATAATATAATTTACAAGAAAATTCCTTAGATAAAAAATTTAAACAAATAAATAAGCCCACTTAGGGCTATCTATCTATCTATCTATCTTATCTATATATATGTATATATATATATATATATGTATATATATATATATAGATATAATATATATAATATATATAAGCTATATAATTTACAAGAAATTGCCTTAGATAAAAAAAAATTTTAAAAAAAATATTCAAGGCCCACTTAGACCCGTTTAGGACCGGGCCCGACCCACATAACCCGGGACCATTAGTACACGGTCCCGGTCCCGGTCTGGTTACACCCAAAAGCCCATGAAGCCCGGGTCCGTTTAAGCCCGGGCCTACTTAGAACCGGACCGTTTAAGCCCGGCCCGCGAGGTCCGTTTAGGACCGGGACCGGACCATTTGCCACCCTTAGTTTAGGAGCCGTGTGCGATAAAAGTCTCATGTATGAGTTTGAATTAGATCAATCTAAATGAACTTCCAAAACTTGCATTTCTATGTATTTCCTTATATATTACAAAATAAATCAAGTTAAATGACAAGAACACCTAATTACTATATTAAGTATCAAGTTCCCGCTTTCAAATGACTCAATTATCACTTCGCCATCAGCTGTTTCTTAACAGTTTACTTTTACTACTATTTGCAAGGGAGAATTGGGAGGAGCTTCAGGTCAACATATATTTACGGAAAAACATAACATTTCTATTTATTCCGTATTTGTCCTAACCACATGATTGTCGACTTGGGCTATTTTCGGTATTCCAGGATCTTCATGCTTTAACAACAACAACAACAGACCCAGTGTAATTCCACAAGTACGGTCTGGGGAGGGTAGTATGTATGCAAACTTTACCCCTACCTTCAAGAAAATAGAGAGGCTATTTCCGAAAGACCCTCGGCTTAGGAAAAATAAAAGGAAGGCAACAACAACCAACAAGCACACAAATTAGAATATCGAAGTAAAAATGCAAAGATACAAAACTAAAACTGAGTATTGTAATCAGAAGGCCGAAACGTAAACAACGACAAGTAATCACAGAAATCAAGGAATACGAAAATACATAAATAACGCTAACTCGTGTACTAAAGCTACTGTTACAAACAAGTACAACGCTAGGCGACCTATCCTAATCCTTTACCTTTATTCTCAATCTCCACACATTCCTATCCATGGTCATGTCTTCAATGAGCTGGAGCAATGCCATATCTTGCCTAATCACACCTCCCCAATACTTCTCCAGCCTATCTCTACCTCTCCTTAGGCCCTGCAGGGCCAACCTCTCACACCTCCTCACCGGTGCATCTGTGCCTCTCTTCTTCACATGCCCGAACCATCTTAGTCTCGCCTCCCGCATCTTGTCCTCCGCAGGGGACACGCTCACCTTGTCCCAAATAACCTCATTTCTAATTCTATCCAGCCTGGTATGCCCGCACATCCTTTTCAACATCCTTATTTCAGCCACCTTCATCTTTTGGGGTGGACTGGCCAACACTCCGCCCATATTACATAGTCGGTCTGACCACCACTTTATAAAAGTTACCTTTAAGTTTAGATGGCACATTCTTATCACACAAAAAACCTGAAATGAGCCTCCATTTTATCCATCCCGCCCCAATACGGTGTGTAATATCCTCGTCGATCTCTCCATTCCCCAAGATATTTAAAATCCTCTCTACCAGGGATGACTTGAGAATCAAGCCGCACTTCTTCGTCCACAACCTGAGTCGTCCCACTGAACTTGCACTCCAAGTATTCTGTCTTGGTCTTGCTCAACTTGAAACCTTTAGACTCCAGGGTCTGGCTCTAAATCTCTAACCTCCCGTTAACACCGCATCACGTCTCGTCAACCAAAACAATGTCATCT